GGAGGCTTTTGGAGCGATGGGTGGTAGTCGGCACAACATCTCCGTCGCGGCTCCGTAATCACCCATGGCAACAACAAGTGGCAAGAAAATATTGATTGCTCCCTGCGAATTTTGTCCTTGCACGCGTACCTGTTGAGAGAGCCCGCAAGTGGCACTTTCGTACTCACCCCTTCACCTTCACTGCTCACTTATTGTAGTCATTTTTAACCCTTCACCTTAGCTATTGGAATAAATTAACAGGAGCCACTTGACGCTTTCGCACTTGCCCCCAAACTCGATTGGGTCATTTCGTATGCGAAGGAGGAATATCTTCTTATATTGGATAGGAAGCTCTAAGATTTTGGCAGAAACAGGAGATTGTGTGGAAAGGAGAAAGTAATTTGCATTTTAATTAAAGAGGTAGGGTGAAAATGTTCATAATATTTGCCGTCAGTAGCTTTTTCCGTAATGATTCTGAAGTTTTTCTGAAATTTATATTTTCGCACAATTTATCAGAAATTTTAGAAATCAAAATTTCCCAAAAAGATTTAAATTGTCAATAAATAAAATTTTTGAAAAATATGAAAAGATCTGCTTTGATCTCTAACATTTTTTTTTTATTTTTTGAATTTTTCTAGCTCCTTTACTAAAAAACAAAGAGAAAAGGGTTTTATAAAAATTATTTAAACTTATGCAAAACAAAATTTTTTTGCAAAAATCTGTTCATGAATTAATTTGTTTGTTATTTTAGTTCTTAATCTCGCACTGACAATGATGAAAACTGTAAGGACCGCACAAGACGTTCACAAACATTGTTTAATTTACACGTCCATAAATTATTCATTTAGTTTCAAGGTCTCTGCTCGTCTCTCCTAAATTAATAGACCAACCAATTCAACCGACTAATGATGGGCAAAACGCTCCGCTAAAGTGCGCAATTTTCCAAATTGATTATCACGTTCTGAGCAAATTTGGCTGCAATTCTGAACTTGAATTATTAACGTCGCCACTCAAAAACGTGAGTGATTATATTTATAACGTGTTGCTTTGTTGTGCATTAGACGCACGTCAGACAGGCGCATTAATAAGTCGCCGGGGTGGGAAAAGAAGCGGTTAAGGAGGCTCTCCAAGTTCGTCGCCGGTCTTTCAGGTCACTTTTTGTTTGCCACCGGCCAGAGAGGTTAAAACCTGCTTGCGCTCTTGCTTGTCCGGCTTCTCCAAATGAAGGACGCATTCAAAATATTCTTCGTTGGCGGGTGAGCGAAAATACCAAAAATAATTCACATAATTTCTTAGTTTTCACGCCAAATTTGATTTATAATCAGTAATTTATACATTTTTAATTATGTCTTAATTAAAATTGCATTTAAATATTGACGGAGAGAAGAAAAATGTACATTTTTAAACATATTTTAATTTAAAAATTATGAAGGAAAAACTATAAAATATTAGCTTTTTGCAATTTTTACATCCTATGCACGCTTTAGCTACTTTAACTACAACCCTCGGGAACCCTGACCACCCTGACTGACAAATTCAACCTTATGATCGTGGCTTAACCTAGCTTTGTTGTTTAAAAATGAACTAAAAGTATTATTTCTTTTGAAAGTTCACTTAAAACTTGTTCTTCTCAATACCATTTTCTAAACCATTCTGACCACCCTGTAAAATTAAATAAACCATAATTTATTTTAAATATATCCTGCAAATTTATTTAAAAAGTCAAATTAAATAATTATATTATTAAAATTTGATACTGCGTACTAGTTTATGGGAAATGCGAAGTAACTTGGCTTAGATATAGCGCAGCCTTTGAAATGTACAACATGTTCAATAAAAGTGGGCGACCCTGAAGTCGCGGCTCATCTCGTTCCCCCATATTATATGTTCTATAGCTCGTCTGTCTGTAGCACAAGTTATAAAACAAAGTTTTCCATTCCGGCGGGAGAATGACAATGGCAGGCAAAAGTTTTCAAATCTCTCCTTGTTCCTCCCTCATATGAACCCGAAAAGTTTTACAAATGAAACTCGCCGTGCAAATATAGACAGTGCGAAGAATAATGGTCGGAATGACATTTTGAGTCACAATATTGGTTAAAGTTTTTGCTGACGTAAAGTTATGTCATTTCAAGTCAGAAGCAGGAAAGGGTGGCTCCCGGATTTCCTCTTGACATTTAAAATCATATTAAATTTTCCAACCATTAATTTAAAAAATTACGTTTTAAAGTTAGCTTAAAAGCACCTAAAATTATTGCCTATTGCTTGCTTATAAAATATAATAATTTTCTCCCCTAGAAACATTAAAAAATATTATAAAATGATCCAAATTGTATGAAAATTTAATAAAATAAAATTAATAAACAATGAAAGGCAAATTTTCTTCAAGATGTTAAATTCCAAAAAATGTTGAGGTGGAAGAAAAGGGTTATTGACATTTTGCCGAAGTGATGATTTCTGTCCGATGCGTGCAGCTCCTGCTTGAGCTTGGGCAAATCAGCTTTGGCCGGTCTCTCGCAGAGGGTTTTTTTCTTACTTAATTCGATTGGCAAGTATGCGTGCCCGGAAAGTAAACAAACAAAGAACGGCGGCGGTCCAGCCCAGCATCTCGTTACAATCCTTGCTTGGGCGACGCAAATGCGAGGCCGCCGCCGCCGCGCTTTGTGAAATGTGACACACAGGAAGGAAGTGGCAACTTGCTGGCTCGATGGATGATTTAGCCATGCGAATGATCCGCAGGGGCTCCCTCGTGTGCCCCGGGCCCCCTTCGCACGGCAGCTCCAAGCATCCCGCGCGCAAACCGACACAGACCGCGAACAGCCGCGCGCTTTCATCTGCGCGGACAATTTGATTAGGACCGATCGATGAGACGCGGCTAATTAATTTGCGATCGCAACGCTCAACCTAATTAGAATTCAAATAATTGTATAAATAATCTCAGAAAGGAAGAACAATAAACGTATAACTTGAAGTTGTGTAAATAAATATAATTCAAAATAGTAGTTCCTTCAAAAAAATTCGTACTAATTTTTTTAATTGTATATTTTGTAGGTTCATTTAAATTTTTCAGATAGACTGATAGAGTTTCCATAATCAATTACTATTATTGCATTACTATTTCAGTTAAAAAAAACTTATTTTAAATAAGCTCAAATTCTAAAATTGACTAACATTTAAATTTTGGTAGTTTTAATTAAGGTTTTTACTTACAACACAATTTCTTGGGGACTCGTTGAGTCTTTTAGAAATTAAATATTTTTTGTTTATAACTTGCTATAGAGGAATATTCTTCTTCAACGCCACGTTTATAAAAATAAATATCTTGTTTCCGTTATAGGATAATTTACAATTTATAAAAGGGGTCGGTAATTTTTAGATCATAAAATATAATTAATATGTATTTAAATATTCATGATTTTTTTTTTTAATAATTTGTTATCTCATCGCCTTTTGGAGCTGAATGTGTGTAAAATTGAGCAACTATTTAGAGCAAAAAATTTATAATAAACTGAATTGTTAATTATATTTAGAGTAAGATTTTGAAATATATTTTTAAATTCTACGTTTTTAAAAATACGAAATTTTTAATGATTTGAAATTGCATTATTTTTAATCAATTAAACTCTTTTCCTACGAATTTCCAAGTAATTCCATGTCCAAAGGAAAATGACTTTTTTTAAAGACAGTTCATTCCGAAGACCATGTTCGACTTGCAGCAGCAGGTGTCACATTTTGTGACATGCTCTTGGTGATGCTTTTTGTGGCCCCGTAGATCGAAACCATAATAATAATCCTGTCTGTCAAACGCGATGTGATCCTCTCCCGTTCGAGAGGGCCCTGTTGACATGCAAGAAATTCTATCCTTTCGCCCGAAATCTCATTTTGAGACTGACAAAAAAAGCCAAGGGATGGGCGAGGTGAACTCTGGCCTGCGAGGAAAACGTGTCAGCGTGGGAGGTGTAATTAGCAAAAGTCTATTTTCGGATTTGGCACCCTAATCAATGCTCCCTTTGTTTTGACAACCTCATTAACGCTAATTGAGCTTCGGTTTTTCCATTCTATAAAAAAAAACGTTTTTTTCTTTCTTTACAATTGTTTACTCTCTCGGATTATTCTACTCATATGAGCAGAATAAAAAAATCGATGTCTTTTGTGTTCCGGCGTAAAAATTACCTCTCCCTCAGCTCTTTTTCTCTCTTCATTATTTCAGCGCACGATGTTGATAAAAAGTCATCAACGCCGCAAAATTTTCCCACAAAAGCGCAGAGGGGTGAGCGAAAATCGTCGCACAAAAAGTTGCCGCTGCTGGCAAAGTGAGCCAGAGAATTACTGGACCATGAAGTCGCAGGCTTTTCCAGCAGATAAAGATGAAATTATTACATGGCCGGGCTCAAAAGCCAGCGGTCGCTAACATCGGTCCTTTCTGCCCCAGTGAACTGCAAGAGGGTGGCGATTGTTGCCAAAAATTCAGAGATATGCATCTTTTGTGTCATTTGTGCCCATTGTTTTCGCCAACATGGCTTAAAATTAAACCAAAATTATTTAAAAAAAAGAGGAAAGTAAAAAGTGAAAATGGGAGTTATTTTGCAGAAATTTTTACATAATAAATTATTCATCAAATTAAATAAATGTTTAAAATCGTGAAAGAGTCCTGAAAGATTAATGAATCGCTTTAACCCTCATGCAAATATTTTTCCACCGCAATTTCATTTTCTCAGTAATAAATTTGTGTTCTTTCAAATTCAATAAGAAAAGTGATTACTGGGGAGGCCCTTAAATAATTAAAATTTTATCATTATTTGTCATTTCACAACAAGATATTAAGGCGTAAAAATGGGTATATTGAACCTTTCGATAAAATAATCCCTTTAATCCTTATAATCGGTTTGAACCTCATTATACCTACTCGCAATAAACAATACAAGGAAATTAAGAGAATTTACAACTGCCATAAAAAAACACCGAAGGTATAAAAGATCGAAACGTCCCTTGGCTGATATTAGTGTGTTTTATTGCTGTTGCAGGACCGCGTCGCCCGCAGTTGGTCCAGCGCGTCGTCAGTCGTCGTCAGCACGTCGCCACCACATCAGGAGCGGAGAGATGGCCAAGCCAAACCGCGACTGCTGTCAAAAGGCGCTTAGGGAAAATGCGCTCACCATATTCACCGTGCTCGGCGTGATCGGGGGCACTGTTTTAGGCATCAGTTTACGCGCCTCGAGGTAAAGTGACACTTTTATTTGGCCTAAATTAGTGCATGAAAGACATATTTTATCAATTGAACGGAGAGAAATTTAAGAAGTTATAATTGAATGGAAACGGGATATATATTATTTTTGTCACTCTGTTTTTCCTGAATTAGCTTGCATAAATTTAATGAAAATAAATTTTTGTCGTGTGTGTAAAAAATAAAAAAATTATCAGAAGCTTACTCTGTCAAAAATATAAATATTCTCTAAGTAGATATGAAAACTGTTGTCTGCATTTCTGCGAAATAAATAATTGAAAATTTTTAAATCATAATATAAAAAAAAAAAATACAGAAAAGTTTATTTAAAAAAATTCAAAACAGTCAAATTGTTATTTGAAAGTTTATTGAAAATTATGGTAATAAATAGATGCATTTTTCATCTTATATACCATTTTTAACTATATGTTATTTTTTTTTTTTTTTGAAGTAGTCACCGTTAATGGAGTCCTTTTAATTTATAAAATTTATTTAATAAATTAGTTTAAAAAAAAGATTAAATAAATTTTATATTGCAAATTCCGTCAAAACTTCCTAACAACAAATATTGATGACAGAATGCTAAGAAAATTAATTTCTTATTTTTTAATTTTTTTTAAATTAATTATTTTTAGGCAGTTTTCTAGAAAAATAACCAATATTTTAACAAAATTAACATCGATTGCAAAAAAATTTTTACACTAAGTGGAATAAATTATTTTCTTTTGAAAAATTTTAAAATTCAATAAAAAATCTGAAGAGAGATATTTTTATCATTAGTAATTATTTTAATTAATCGTAATAATTATTTTTTCTTAAATTAATTTTGTCATTGTTAGAGAGGAGAAATGGACGCCGCGAGAGATAATGTACGTGAGCTACATCGGCGACCTGTTCCTGCGGATGCTCAAGTCTTTGATCCTGCCGCTGATCGTGGCCTCGCTGATCTCGGCCATCGGCTCGCTCGACCTGAGTCTGTCGGGCCGAATCGGCGGCCGGGCCATCTTTTACTACCTGACCACCACCGTCTGCGCCGTGGTGCTCGGCATCATCCTCGTCGTCACCATCCACCCTGGCAGGGGCGACTCCGAGTCCATCGCCAGGGCCGGCACCTCCAGAAACGTCACCACTGCCGACACACTTATGGATCTCGTCAGGTACGGAAACAATAAAATAATTATTTAAATAATGTTTTTTTTACAAATATTATTTTTTTTTTTTTAATTACAGAAACATGTTCCCGCCCAATTTAGTACAAGCCTGCATCGCTCAGGTAAGACCTATTTTTTTTTTATCTCTGACAAAAAAAGTAAGTTAACGCTCCGATGAGGAAAACGGCCCAGGTGCTGAATAAAATTTCGGCTGAGTTGCATCGCGATTTGTCGCAGTAACAAACTATTTGACCTTCCTCGCCTGAGCCGTCCTGATAGCATCCAATTTTCATTTCTATGCCAAAACTATTTTTCTTCATTGTGCATGACCGTGATATATTCCCTGAGAGGCATCAAAATTTAGAAACTTTTTTTGTTAAAAAAGAAAACTCACCTCCATAAGCGGGGACGATTTTTGAACAAACAGTGTCGTGTGGACAAATCACTTCATAGGGTCGCCAACGCGGAGACCCCTCGAAATACTTGCAGGTGTCCATTTCGTTAGGCGTGTGTTCGGTCCCGCAAGAGTAGCAAATTAATTCTTCCGAAGTGAGCACATACGTTGGAAAAACTATTAAATTATTATATAATTAATAATTTTCCTTAGGATATCACTCAAAATTATACTCATGGGAACTTCTTAAAATTATTTTTTTGTTCCATTTGGTACAAAGTAAATCCAACCATGTATCTTTGCAAATTGAATAATTCAAATTTAAAATTATTTGTAATTTGTAATAACGTTGTCGTGATTTTATTTTTTATTTTTACATTGTTAATTTAAAAATAAAACTCTTGTTCAGGGATTAATTGGCAATAGTTAGAAAAAATAAATTAGTAAAAAATTCAAAAATTTTAATTACAAATGTCTTGTCTACTCTGAATATAAGTTTTGTAGTAAATTACATGCACAAATTAATTTTTATTAATTGATTTAAAAATTTTTGTCCAAATTTTTCCAAACTTTTACTTATATGCATGAAATATGAAAAAAAAAAATTTAATTGATACTTTGATTGCTTGAAAACCACTTATACTTCTTCTCTTGCTTAGTTCATACTTAAAAAATTTCAAGATTTTCCTCTTCTTTGCTTTACAAATATGGTATGTGTTTAGAAAATTCTGTTTAACATTGCATTGTTTTATCTCACTTCAAAGAAAAACGTCCCCTATCTCTCTTTCCTGCTCTGATTCTATTAAAATGCAAAACAAAGAGTGCAAATATTTGTACTTACGCAAGGTTACGATTATCGTTGGGAAGAGTGCCATTATTTTTCTTCAAGTAAAAAAATTAGAAATAATTCTTTTAGTGCAACCTCCCGGCTCGCTCTCTAGTAATTCACTACCAAAGTCCGCTTTTATCAGCAGTAAAAGGATGCAAAGCAACCGCGCCGACTTCCTCTTTACTATAAACAAATCAAATCGTCTAATCTGAACTTTGCGTTTTTTTATGTTATTAACCTCATTTTATCTGATCCGCAGTACCGAACTGTTTTGAAAATTCCCCCACCAAATGAAAATGGAACAAGTATTGATTAAATATATTTTCGTAGAAAAAAAAAATTAATTTCGAAAATTTCGCAGCTCCAAGTTTGCACGAGTGGGAAATCACGCATGAGTACGCCGAGGGCACCAACATTCTGGGTTTGGTGGTGTTTTCCACCGTCATGGGCATCACCCTGGGCAAAATGGGCCCCAAGGGAGCACCCCTGTTGGCTTTCTTCAGCTCTATGAGCCAGGCCATGATGATCATCACAGGCTGGGTTATTTGGTAAACTTTTATTTATTTTTATTATTATTTTTTAATTTTTCTAAATGCAATAAAAGGGTTTCTCCGATCGGTGTGCTGTTCTTGATCGCTGCCAAGCTGCTGGAAATGGAGAGCTTTGATGTGATAGTGGGTCAGCTGGGCATGTACTTCATGACTGTGCTCGTGGGAATCTTCTTCCACGGATTTGTGGTGCTGCCCATCATTTACGTTGTGTTTACGCGCACCCTCCCGTTCAAGTTCATCGGCAACATGGCTCAGGCGCTAGCCACTGCCTTCAGTACTGCATCAAGGTAAGAATTTTTGTTCTTTCTAATAAAATGTTTGAAGATCATATTATATACAAGATAATAATAATTAATCTAAATATTTTGGTAAAACTGTAATTTTGAGCAACAGAAAATTCTAAGCTTCAAATTTATATTTTTTAATATTTAAATAATTATTATTGTTAATTTTTTCAATTGTTGCAACAATTTTTTTCGTAAGTCATAAATTTCTATTACATAAATTTAATGCGATTTTTATGACCAAGAGTTAATTATAAACCTGAAAATGTCCGCAGCTCGGCAACCCTTCCTGTGGCCATCGCCGCTCTGGAGGACAAGAACGGGATTGACCCTCGCGTAGCCCGATTCGTGATGCCCATAGGTGCTACAATCAACATGGACGGCACCGCCCTGTACGAGGCCGTCGCCGCAATTTTCATTTCGCAGGTGCGCAGGGTGCCTCTTTCTTTGGGCAACATCATTGCCATCAGGTAAGCCTAGCTTTCAATATTAGTCAAAATATAAACAAAAAATATGTTTAAAAAGAAAGAAAAAATTCAAATGAGAGTTTCTACTTCCGCTTTAAAATTAATGAAATAAATTTGCTTATGGCACATGTATTACTATTCACTGCCTCTAAGAATTGAATTAAAAATCTAATGTAAGTGCAAGCGGTGCAAGTTATATCTCGCTTGGTTTGCCTCTAATTAAAAAAGGAAGTACTTAAAAAAAACCTTTTCATGAAAAGTACTTAATTTGATTTTTTTTCCGGAAAAAATTGGGTTAGGGTTAAAAATAAATACGACATCTTGGTGCTCCCTTGTCCAATCAAAGTTGTTTACTGAACGGCTAAGCTGATCAAATCCTGTTGCAGCATCACATCGACCGCCGCCAGCATTGGTGCCGCCGGAATCCCGCAGGCTGGCTTGGTCACCATGGTGATGGTGCTGGACACCGTGGGGCTGCCCGCTGAGGACGTCACCTTGATTATTGCAGTCGACTGGCTTCTGTAAGCTAACAAAACACCTTCCCCCTTATTTATTCCCTTCATTTGCAGATTTAAGAAAATATTTTTGCACAAATATTTTTTTATTTTAAATAATTAGTATTAATTTTTCCTCTTCAAAAAAATGAATGAAAAAAATTGAAAAATTTATTTATGGTTTTCTAATTAATTATTGACGTTTTATCATTCTTTAAAATTAAATTTATTACTTTTTTTTAGTGACCGGTTCCGAACAATGATCAACGTGTTGGGCGACTCGTTGGGCGCCGGCCTGGTGAACCACCTGAGCAAAGCCGAGCTGGAAAACTCGCCGTTGGCAGGCGACCTGGAAAAGCAGGACACCCTGAACGGAAAATTGTCCGCTGACAGACCAAATGAAGAGGTACAGTGCCAGACGACCTCGATGTAGAGGGACAATGCAAAAGCGTAGATTTAGTGTGGTGTTCATTTTTTTTTTTTAAACATAGATTAATGTACTTTTAAGTTTGTACTTTTTTATTGTTTGCAACTCGCGGTGAAATGGAGTCGGGGGAAAAGTTTCTGCTGGTTATCGACTAGACTGCATGCGATTTTACGACACAGAATAATTGTAGCTGTTAATGGCAAACTATCACTTTTTACAAACTTCACCCATGGTGCGTGTTATATTGACGATTAATCTCATATTAATGTCGGAGGACAAATTTTGCACAAAAACTATCATATCAGAGGACTATGATATTACACTAATTTTTGAGTGGGATATGCATGAGTTAGGTTTTTTTTAGTAAAACGTGTGACTTTGTATGATTAATTTTGAAATTGTGGATTAAAGAATGTGATATTACAATTATTTCACATTTAATTTAAAAATAATAAATGCATGGAAATCCACAACTTCTAATGAAGTTATAGTCTTATTATTGATGTAAGCGTGTGTGAATAGTCTAATTTTGTATTAAATGTACACCGCAATGCACTCCACATGATAATCCTAATTTCTTGAGTAATTTTTTTGACCAATTGAAGAAAGAAAAAATAAATTTGGAAATAATTTCTGGGTTCGTCACTTATAAAATTTGTAAGTGCGTTTTGGATAATTAATTAACTGCTCTAATTTTTTTTATCTTTTTGTTCAAGAGTTTATCCAGTAATGTTGAAATCATACAAAAAATGTCATTATTTAAAATTGTGATCATGAAATTCAAATTTATGAGGGGTCAACTAAATTTCCGCCCTCTTTGATGCTGCAGAGAGCAGATTAAAAAAAACCATATTCTCAATTTCAATCACATTTTTTTTTTTAAATTCCAGATTAATAATCATTACTGGAGAGGCCATTACACTTATTGTTTGTATTTTTGAGAAAAGAAATCGGATTTTTGTGCTGAGTATCTTGCATTTGTTTACAATTTAAAACCAACTAATTAATTATTGGTGAATTTGGTCTGCTTGCAGTGTGCGTCTGTCTAAGCGGGTGTGCGCCTCTTAATTAACAATTCACGTTGACGTAATAAAATGGTTAAGATGCATTCAACCAACTAACCCGCAAAACCGCAATGCATTTAACCGTCAACATCTTCGTCTTGGTTTTTCTAGTGCCGCTGATGAGAGAACGATGCGAGGGTGAGATAGAGTGAAGGTGTTGCATTCCACAAGAATTAGGATTCACAAGTCGCCTAGCTCTGTCTTGGCACATTATATCATCTTGGTCTTAATATCACACACGTAACTCGCTGTTAAATTGTTGATTATATAAAAAAAAACGCAGTCTTATCGATTTTAACAAAAATGAAATTGTCAAGAAATTTCATGGAATTGTTGTTTTGGTTTTAACTTAAAAAAAAAACGCACATAAACTAACTCAAATTGAAAAATGACAATAATTTTACCCTAGTTAACATCTAAGGTAATCTATTACTAAAGTAAGTGAAAAAATTGTATATGCTCTTAATCGATATAAAACAACTCACAACATTCACACACCTGTCTATTCACTTTCTTTTCCGGAAGGCTATACAAAATGTGAGTCAAAGTATAAGTAATAAATCTGTAATAAGAAAAGTACATTGATATAGTTAGGGTGATCACAGTGCATATTAGCTGGTAATTCTCTTTTTGCGATCAACACTCTTACGAAGTAAGTTTGTGAATGTATTTATTGCTGATGTTCAGTATTTGATCATAATTCTCTGTGACAATATTCGCGAGTTATTATATACATAATAAGATTTACTGTTGACAGCAAGAAGATGACAAAAAAAACTTCATACAAAGTATATCACGATCTGTGTTGATGTTAAAAGTTAAAAAAATTATTATATAACAGAAAAAATAAATAAAATGTCTGGCACATTTGTTGAATTGAATGGTTAAGAAAAAAAAATATGATAATTGTTCAATTATTTTCAACAAAGGAAATGTCTATTTTTAAGCTGGAATTGAATTAAACAAAAAACTACGTCTATACCCTTAGCGAAAAAAATGTAAAATTGGTCAGGTAAAAAAAAACTTAATGTCTAACGCGGGACTCAATTTTACCAAAACTCTAATCTATACTGTGCAATCTGACCGTTTGAACAGGACAGGGATATTATTTAGTTAGATTTTAAAGCGAGTTTTTTCAAAAGAACATGTCTTTGAGCTTTGAGGAGATCAAAATTTACGATGTTATACGGAGCAATTTTTAATGTATCATGCATATTAGCAAAAAACAAATACACAATTCTCGATAAAAATTTGGAGAAGGGAATTTTTCGGCTATTTGAGTTTTTGCTCCAGCCAAGTGTTCAAAATTGTTAGAGTAAAAAGTATTTTCCCACACCACTGCTACATGTGATTTTTAAAGGAGAAGATTTTCAAAAAGTTTCAAATTTTTGTCACATTTTTTGTGAAGCAGCAACTCGTCAAAAATCCAAAAGCAGCAGCTGCCTTTACACGCGTTTATAAAAAAACAGGTCCAATTTTGAATTTGAAAGAATATCGCAGTGTTCAATTTCAGATTTACACACCAGTATTACATTAAAGTAAAGACAATATGAAAAAGCGAGTAGCTTAAATTTTAATTTTATTATTAATTAGATTTTTTATCAATAGCTAGAGGTTGGGTAAAAATTTTGAATTCGTTTTAGATTTTTTTTTAAAACTTCATCAAAAGTGTTTCAAACGCCTTGAACCGTTTAGGCTTGTATTTATTTTTCTTTAAAAACCAAATAAATTTTTTTGGAAACTAATTCCATTATTGCAAAAAGCCGTGTGCAATTTTACTCGTAAGCGAGTTTTGTAGTGTACGTATGAGTAATTGTTAATTAATAACAAGTTAAAAGGCATTTCTCTTGTGTAGTTTTAGGAATTTGACGTGGCCCAAGAGTTAAAAATTGAACCGATTTGTATTGTATCGCGTAAAATGCACCCAGAACACAAATTTTCGGGATGAATGAAATATAAAGGTAACCTCTGCACGCACCAATTAAATTATGAAATAATTATAATATATTAACTGAGGTGAAAAAAATAAGCAGTTGACGAAGAAGTGAATCACATTTAATGCAAAAAAAAAAAAACAATTTGTATACTTCTAATAACGTGCATTTAAGAGAGACTTCTGGTTAGTGTTAGTGAATATTAATTATAGAAAAAAAAATATGTATCGCACTACTTATGTACTGTATTAATCGCAGGAACCTGAAGAAAGCACTTGACCCCTTAGATGTGTACCGAAATTGTTGAGCAAGAAGAGATTTTTTGCCACAGATAATTTAATTCCCCTCTTCGTATGGGGGTTGAAAGCAAAAATTTTGTTATTTTTATTATTTCTAGTGTTCGGGGAAATTTGTGTACAAAAAGCATAAAAAGCGGAAAACTCACTGTGTAATCCATATCAAGATAAATTTCGTTTGCCAGTTGTGGATTTTGTCGATTGAGGCAAAAACTAAATAAAAATATACCATTGTTCTTAAAAATAAAATGTTCTCTCATATACACAAAATACGTCTTTTTAATTGAACCTTAATTATGATCATTGTAAGGTTAATATGGCATGAAATGATGGATATAAAATTGTTTAGATTGAGGAATACTGAAAGTTATCATTTATATTTGAAGGATTGATTCACGCCACTCACAATTAATTGGTTAAAAAATAACAACAATTAAATTATAAAAATCATAATTTTTTCTCAAAATCAGATGGTTATAACTTGTGATGTTTAAATTTGATTTTGACGTCTTGTTTACAGTTCCCAAAAAAAGTTGAAAGAGCTAATCAATTCATTTTTCTATCCTGTGCTATACGCAATAAAGTTTTTGTGTGATCCTAATTGATTTTTAACGATATTTAAAAACTTAATTGTTTCTAATGATAGGATGTAATAGAATGGGAAATTTTTTTGTTGAAACGAGAATTGAGATAATTGAAATATTTCGCATATTTTAAAAGCTGTCAGGGGAATTTGACTAATGATTATTGCGATGAATAAACAAAAACTGTAGCTATATATGATTTACGATTTATGCCAAATAATCATTTTCACGATTTTCACAATGCTTCAAATTATATTTTCAACAGTCTCAGCGAATTTTTATCGATCCACCTGATTTTTACTTAATCAATTTAATCATAGGAAAATTTAAGATTAAAGGAGTTCTTTTGTATTTTATACTTTAATGCGCTTATTTTCCTCAAAGAATTTTATTATTCAAAACGATTCAAGTTTTCACCATTGAAATATTTCCATCCTTTTCTGGTTTCTGGTATTTTCTGTGTTTTCCTTTCTCATCCCCAAAACCTTTTGGAACCAAAAGCTGGCGCACCACCACACTCTTGCTTATCGATTTGCATCCGCGGGCACCGCGATCAATGACCCAACGGAGAACGTGAAGTTCTCGGAAGAACCAACAGATGGCCAGAGAGGGGTTGTTAACGAGCTCGCTTGCCAACAACTGGCAGCAAATCAAAAGGATTTTTTTAGCTTGTTTATTGGCCCATTAGATCCAAAGGTTGCCAACAAAATCTAACATCGATATAAAATTTGAAATCAAAAATAATAAATCAACTCAAAATTTGAGCTCATAAATGTTTCAAATTTTAAATTAATTAGCTGAAAATGATAAAAATATTTTAATAGATTATTTATAACTTTGATTTGAGTGTTACTAAAAACGTTCCACTTGCGTTACCTTGGCAACAATGTAAGTAAATAAACAAAATTCGAGTTGTGCCAAGTTTTAAGAGAGAAATTTTGATTTTAGAGTCGAAATTAAGCGAGAAACAATGTAAGGAGGCGACTCGAAGGCCGTCGATGCTTTTGCCCTGCACCCTCGCCCTCGCACCCTGAGCATTTCACACAAAACCACCCCGTAAATGGGCGCCGACCTGGAAAACTACGTCAATTAGCCAGGTGGGTTGTAAATCGATTTCAGCATCTCTGTCTGTTTTGGTGAACTGAATGAGCATTATTTTGTGCTAAATATTTCATTTTAAAATATTTTCTTGGTAAAAATGATTGTCACTGTTGTCATGTCATTGAAAATTACACAAAATTAAAAATAAAATCATGTTACTTGATACTTAAATTATTTTATGAAACAAATTAAATTTTTTACAATTAATTTATTGCAAATTTGTATTGATTTTAATGTTCTATTTACTAACATTTCCTTTAATGATACATAACAAATCTAAACTTATTATTTTTTAAGTCAAACATTAATTTTAACAATACAATTTTATCCATTTTTTTTTTACCATTTTGCTTTTTCCTTTAAAGAGTTATTTTTTTTTATCATGAATAAATTATTGAATTTAGAATTTTATTATTACCATTTTACACAGGAAAATGGGCAAAAAGCAGGACACGACGGAACCAACGCTGGAGTGCGCCGAGGATTTCAAGCCGAGCGCCCCAATTGCAACGGGGACCCTTCCAAGGCACGGAAACCGCCCTCCCAAAACCAACTTCCACGGTAAGCATAAATTCAAAGTTATTTATTTGGCACGAGAATTGCTCTCAAGACCGAAAATTATGGTGTTTACACCCTCGAGTTACGAGCTCGAGTCTTGTTTTTGCGCGTCAAAGAAAGTGGCGGGCGCGAGTCGAGCACCAAACTTGGCTAAACGCGACGCGTGAATCCATTTACCATAAAGGCCTGCAGACGGCGCTTCCAAATCCGCTGCCAAATTATGCGTGAAGCCAAGCGTTATCAGCAAAATATCATATATCACCGGCACCAGTGGCGATTCTGGGTGCAAAATTTTTACCTCTTTTGGACACTAAATTTAAGAGTGAAAAATTTCAAATTGCAATTGTGAAAAAAAATTTATTTGTTATTTTAGAAATTAGGTTTAAGGTTTAAGCTACGTGAATTACTGGAGAATAAGTCCCTAATTACTTTGAGTAATTTATAATATTTTTAATTACAATTTAAAAAATTAACATGTTGGTTGATGAAACCTAAACACTAACTTTGGAGAGAATAGTGAGTGAAATAGAAACCAAAATTATTTTTTAATTTAATCATTAAATTAAAGCAATTATTAGGAGGACAAATTCTTAAATATTTGATCAGTTCTGTCAACAATATTGTCTAAAAAATAAAATAAAAATTCAATTCAGTAGATTTAAGAAGAAAAAAATCAAAAAATTAGATTTAGTTATAAATATTTTGCTCAATTACGATTATCTCTGAGAAATGTTCTGATTTAAACTAGAGACGAAAGAGTTATCTTGTTTATTAGTAAAGCTGTTATGAATTTTTTTTTATGTGTGTACATTCTTGGCAAGATTATGATAGAAAAACTTCTTCTCAGAATATATAATGCATTATTTTAATTTTAATATTCATAATTTAATTTTTATTAAATTGCTAATTATTACAGAGAGAATTACTTGAAAACGACTACATAATATATTATCTTATATATTTTGGAACATAATTCTTAATCGAAATTTGAAAAAAAGCCAAAATAAAAAATTTACCACTTGATTAGGTGCCAAACCAAATAATTCATAGTGTTTTTTTTTGCTGCAATAGAAAAAGTAGCAAACTTAGAAGGAGTTTAGAAGGAAGATTGAAAATGGGGTTGATTTTTTAAAAATCCGTTTGAAATTAAAAGTAAAAAAATTAAATAATTTTAAATACCATAAAAACATATAACATTTAATGCCTAAATCCGGTTTTTTATTTAATTTTTTCAGCGTAAATTTAATAATGATTTCTTAACAATGAGTGAACATTTTTTTTTAATTTAATAAAATTTCAACTTATTGCTATCATTCAAATCCTTTTAGAGAAAATTTACAATCCGTAGGGAAGAAAAATCATCATCATTTCTCTGTATAAAATTCGTGTATAAAATCGTGAAAAGCTCCATTCACCCTTTGTGTCTCCGAAAATAAGCGCAAAAAGCTGCGAAGATGAGCGCCCGAAAATAATTTCCTAAATTTAGAGTTGGCAATGACAGCGGGCAGTGTCGAGTGTGTTTGCAAGTCGCCACATTCGATGCAAATTCGGACGCGCGGATAAGAGTAAAGGCGGCTTTGGCGGCGCCGCCACTGCTTTTCCGCCCTTTCCCGGCGCTGGGGTGGGAGCGCGCGGGTGCGTGCAGGCCATTCACGCACTCTTCCATCCCCCGCGCCGCGCGCCGCCCGCCAGCCCGCCCGCCCAACCGACTCCCGAATCCGTCTTCAATTTGTGCAAGGCAAACGCACCGAAAGGACACCCCCGAGAAACATGGTCCGCTACTACAAAGGTAAAGCACCAAAATCATTCAAATTCTTCCGAAATTATTTCTAAATCATCAATTTCCAAAAGAGAAAGCTGAATATATTTATTGAAATTTTTGCCCTAATCTGATTTTCATTCAAAAATTTTCATAACGAAAAAATCATTCAGATTTTGTAAATATTTCTTAAAACTTTTGAAACTTTAAAATTTTTTGAGGCTCAAATTTAAAGATTTTCATCAAAAAGTGTCTAAAAGTTTATTCAAATCTGAGGCATTGTTGATGCAAAGAAAACTTGGGCCTTGATTTTTCAAAAAATTAAATTAGTTTGAAGAAGTTTGTTGAATTTGCCTTGAATTTCAATTTTTGTAATCTTTGTTTTGATTTTTTATGATATTTCAACTAATTCAACTGTTTTATTTTAAAAAATTATTTTCAAATGAATTCTTTGTGCTGAAACTTCCGTAATTGGACGTTTTCATGTAATTTCAAACTATCTCTATAATTATATCCGAAGGAATTCCTTTGGTTTTGAACTTGGCGCTTCTGCGAGTTTATCGACTTAACGCGCGGGCCTGCGTCCTTCTTTAATCCACCCAACTTTGTATCGTCTCTCAGGCAACAAGGGACTCGCAAAACGAAATAAACAAGTAGTGCTTTTGCTCGTCCGAGCCCAAAACACTGCTCTTTTTGTCCAGTATCAAACCGCAATGCACTTTTGCGAGATTAAATTTGCCGCCGCACTTGTTGCAAGGAGTATCAAATTATCTTATTCTCGTAATTGCTTTAGTCAATTTGAAGACCGTGGACTGGCTTGTTTTAGACTAAAACTAAAATGCCAGTTTTTTTAAATAAAATTTATTTTACTTACAAATTTTTGTCACAAGACTATTTTTCTCTTTCTCGTAGACATTCAAATTCATAAAATCTGATAAAATCAGCTAAACTTGTGAAATTAGAAGCCAAACTGAAATGTTAAAAAAAAAATGCTGAAAAGCAGAAAAAATCAATCGGAGAAATGCATAAAAATCAAGAGAAAGGATTATTTTAAATTTATAATAAACTTAGGTTTTCTAATGCTTTGTTTTTTATTTTGAAAAGAAAAGCTCCAAGCAATTTTTAATTAGAAAGAAGTTTTAGAAAATTTAATATGGGAAATTATTTATTGAAAGCATTTTTAATATTTTATTCAGGTTTTATTGATCTACTCAAGTGCAGATGAAGCCTAAATTTATTTCCCTCTATGGTTGCGCCCAAAATTAATGAATTCATACTTTAGAAATATTAATAATTCCATGCTTAAAGGCATTGTTCAAACTTACATACCAAATGCTGAACGCTTGCCAGCCAACAAGTTGGCCATCAATTACGCGCACTTGCGCTAGTTACCTCCAATTTTCCACCCATTTTCCGCTCCTCTCTTCCACGCGACAAAATTTATCCGTAAAAGTAATTTTTTTTACCAATTTCACAATTTTTTTTCACTCTCCCTGAACATGCGGTTGATAAATTTAGTACTGCGTGTGAACAACGCACAAGAATGCCACAAAAACACTCTTCCTTCGTTTTGCACAAAAAGAATCGGGAGAAAAAGAGGGCGAGTGTTTGTTGTGAGAGAAGAAATGTGTGCAAATGTGGCGTCAAGTGTGTCACTCGTGGTGGTGCTATTGCGAGAGCGAAGACGCGCGCCACTTTTACGACGAGCGACCGGAATTGAAAGGGCAGTAAAACGAGAAGATGATAAAATTTCGTCGCAAGACTATACAAAAGCCATACCTGGAGAGATCGAAAGACGTGACGAGGACGAAAATAATTTTTAATTAGCTCTCCCGGGTTGTGACGTAAAATGCGCATCAAACATCTCCAGGGGCTGCAAAGGTCGTGTGAATATCTAAAGACCTTCCAGCAGAAATTAGAAATTAATATAATTTAGAGACGATTTTTTTCAGTTAAAATTTTATAAAAAAAGGAGAGAATTTTCTCGCAAAAAAAGTATAATAATCAAATTGAATAGAAACAGTGTGATTTGTTAATTTTATGAAGTGGATTCATTTAGAATTAAATTAATTTGATTTGTCTGAGGGTAAAAAATATGTGTAATTTGTTAAAAACGATGAATTTGGATAACTTTATTAAAGAAACAAATAAAAAATTAACCTAAACATCATTATTGCTCATCTAAATAATATTCTTAAAAAATTTATTATTACCTTAAAAAAATCGTTGTTAAATATGATCTACGAATATGTGGAAATTATACCAATAGCTTCATTATTCAGAACGTTTTCCATTTATCATTTTTTTATACAATTTCCATTAAAAAATAACCGCCAAACATATTTGGTTCTGTGTTATGACACTATCGCAATTTTGTCTTTTTGACTTTTTCTTGGCCGCTTCGGCTGTCACTTTGATTTCCTGGCATTCTTCCTTTATCGGGAGTTGCCTTCTTTTCGCTCTGCCTGACGGGTCTGCTGTCTTTTGATTTTTTTTTATGAAGGAAGCACATGCACGTGTGGTCGGCAAACGAGCTAAAAAAATGAACAAAACGAGCGCCGCTGTCGGGATGGCAGCCGGGACTGCCTATTTATTGATTAGCTCACTGCAAACGGTTCCTTGAGGAGCTGCTCGGCTCCCGCGAAATTCGATCGCCCCCTTTCACACACCCGACCCCCGAATTGGGTCACCGTGGCCCGCGCTCTGTTTACTTTGGAATTTCAATTAGTGTCTAATTAATGGACCTAGAGAATATAATAGGAGAGGGTCGTGTGTTGTTTTTGTAAAAGTTTGAAGAGATTATATTTCTATTATTTAATAGTGTTTTAAGATTTGGAATTTAAACTTTCTTCTGAAGAAAGTTGTTAATATTTTGCTTTGTTCATTTAATAAACCACAAAAAACTATAAATTTGAATTAATTTGATCAAAGATTTGGGCAAAATTAAATAAGTACAACTTTTAAAGATTCATTATTGGTTGCAGTAAAAAGAATGCGCCTTGATTTAAAAGCTTTTATTGCTTATTGAATTTCACGTACAGCGAGATAAATAACCTGAAAATAGTTAAAATCTGTTATTTGTCATAGAGTGTTTGCCGGGACTCGGTCCCGACGGGTCCCCGCGGGTTTCCCGCGGGACCGGCACCGTTTTCTTTAAGAGCAGCGGGAACGGGACGGGACGCGGGACCAGGAAATTGAAGTTAGTTGCAAAGAAAAACCAGTTCTCAATTCCCTGTTCTGTCAA